GGAGGGAGAAAGGCAGGCCTTTTTTGAGTCCGGCTTCCAGGGAGTCAAAAGACAGGTCAAAACAAATAATTACTCTCCTTTCTTCAGTGGGTCCATTCTGCTCACGAAGTCCTGGTATTAAGGATCAGGGCTGCTGTTTCCCAGGCTACCGCCGAGCCACAGCACAGGTGGAAACAGGAAAAGAAAAAAGCGCCACAAAGTTCACGGTGAGCGCCGGGATTCAGCCAGGTTTTCTTAATTAAGCAACCCCATGATTGCCAACCATTTCTAGTCAATTTCCAGCGCTTTGAGAAATCCGTTCTGACAGCCCACCAGCCTTGAGTGTCTGCCCCGGGGGAGCAGACTGGAGGAGGTTCTTGTTCTGTGGCTCTCACAGATGCTGTGAGAGTCTATGTTCATTTTCTAGAACAGCATTTGATTCTCAATCATCTCCAAATCTAAACGGCAATCTCTTTAAGTCAAATCTCGTGCCTGCTTTCTGTGAGGTCCCATACATTAAAATGTTGCCTTCGAACTCAGCTGTCTCCCTGGCACTCAATCTTCCTCGCATTTTTTTTTAAAGAAATCATTTGTCATTGGTTAATTGTCTATTAGTGTAGATGGTGATTTCAGTTTCTTGCAGTGTGATTCCCTTCAGCCTCCCCTACCAACCCTTCGGCAGAGTAATAATACGACTATCATTAAGTGAATAGTTAGCGTTCAGATTATATCCACAGATGAATTATTTGCTTTCTTTCCCTTCTGATTTCCCGAATTTGATGTTTGTTTTGTTCTCCTCTGTTTAGTCGTCTTTGTTCTTATTGCTAACTCCTCCTGAATGTTCACCTCAGGTGATGCCTCAGTTCCAAGTTTTAGAGACTATCTTCCCAGGGAGCACTATTCTCTTGGCCTCCTGAGGCACCCTCACTGGGACGTCTCCTTCAGAATTTCCCCTGCCTTTCCCCCAGTGGGTTCTCTCTGATCCCTCTGCCCCAGATTTCCTCTCATGCTGCGGAATACATCCTCCAACAATTTTGCCATATTAGATAAAACACAAAGGCAGACTTTTTTTTTTCACGTGTAAAAGCTGTGAAATTATTTTGTAAAAATCTGCACACTGTCCTGGGGCTTAACGACATCTGCATTGCCTGTATCTCTCTTTATACAAAGGCTATCATTTTACTGGAGATCAGGAGAGAAACTATAGGGTGACAAGCAGCTTGGTAGTGTTCTTTAGAGAAACTACTTTTACAGCGTCATAGTGTGCAAGCTTAGGGTTTTAGCTTCTTTCTAACGAACAGACAGAAAGGAGGAAAAGGGAAAAAATATGCTTTTTGAGTTAAAATTCAGAAAACCAGGCAGGCTTAGCAGTGAAGATCTGTGAGCCACTGCCCACATCCAGTCTTGACTCTCTCTCTCTCTCTCTCTCTCTCTCTCTCTCTCTCTCTCCTTAGATTTGCCTTCTCCATCTTTCGGAAACTCTCCTTGACTGTTAGTGTCCATTTTCCCTTCTTTCTTGGATTACTTCTTTATTTTAACTGAATAATCCTAAGAAAGGATGTCTATGTTTGAAAAATGTCTTCAGCTACCATGGCCATTGACAGACTGCAGCATTCAGCGGGGTCACACTGTCCCCAAACTAGCAGTCCCTTGAACGTGACACTATTTTTCCTACACGCTTCTCCTTTGCATTGTGCACAGCTGATCCCCTACCCTCCGTTCCCACTGGTTTTGTTTCCAGAGCATCCATCCCCCTGGACATTCTGTATCTTCTCGCGTGTTTACTTGCAGGATTATTTTTCTGGTTTCCTCCACTGCACAGTAAGCTCATGGAGGCTGGCAGCTGTTTCCATTCGCTGATGTGTCTGACCACCAGGACTAGCCAATGGGAAGCTATTGCAATGGAAGAAATTTATTTTTTTAAAAAACACATTTTCTATTTCTATAATATGAAAGGGATTATAATTAATGAGTGGTGTTTCATACAAAATTAAGAAAGTGTCGACTGTGTCAACTGAAGATCTAAAGGATATTGAGAAATCTCTCCTTAGACTTATGCCCACAGAGAAGATATGATCCTCCTTTGCATCTCTCCATTCAGCCTGCTTCCTTCTTTGTCTTCTTCTAGCTACCAGCAGGGTTGCCCACCCCACCCCACCCCCACCATTCTCAACTTCAGCTGTCGTCTTCTCTCACTTAAGGCTTCAGCTGCCCTGCGTTCATCTGATTTCGTTTGGACCATTTCAACTGTGGCCTTGACTTTGAACAGACCTCCTGCCTAGAATGTGATGAAAATAACCATTTCCTCTCCGCCTAGGAGGTGGGCTTTATGCTGGAGCCCCACCATGCACAAACACTTTACACCTTTGTAGGACCCATACACACTCTCCAGTGCAGTTATTTTCAGTCTTTTCTTTTTCACATTCCACGATGAAATGAGTGGCCTTGGCTTTTAGCACTTGACTTCCTATTGTAGCATCTGAAACTTAATAATAGAATAGTGTGTGTCACCGCCATGTCTTCATTTTTACTTAAGAATTAGATAAAAGCATAACTCTCTAAATTAGAAGTCATGGCAAGACTTAAATAATTTTTCCCAGAGGAATTGGCTATTGCCTTAGTAACCTCAATCTTGAGCAAAAGGGGAAAAGTGAAAAAAAAAAAAAAAGAAGGTAGAATTTTTTTCTTTTATTTTTACGATTAGGAGAATTTTTAAAGCACATTTGAATAGAGTTCCTAGATTTGGCAAGGAAAAATAAGAGATTGTAGTCAAATTTGAATTTCCCATAAACACAAGGGTAAGTTTTTTAACATACAATTGTTTCATTTGGTGTTTTGTTTTGTTTTGTTTGTTTTTCGAGACAGGGTTTCTCTGTGTAGCTTTGGAGCCTATCCTGGCACTCACTCTAGAGACCTGGCCTCGAACTCACAGAGATTCTCCTGCCTCTGCCTCCTGAGTGCTGGGATTAAAGGCGTGCACCACCAACGCCCAGCTCATTTGGTGTTTTATATATTATCAAGCAGCCCTACATTTCAGCAGTCACCTGTTACATCCGTGAAACTGCTTGGGGATGAGGGGTTGCTGTGGATATGAAGAGCTTGGCCTAAGTTGCCACAAGAGGAGAAGGGTAAAAATTCCCTGACTGATGATTTATAACACAGCCTGTTTTAAGCTGGTTAAAGTCTATACAGTGGAAAAGGTACAAGTGATGAAACTGGCCCAGGAGCAGACGTAAGACATCCATCATGGTGCTTCATGCCTCTGATTTCCTAACCCTTATCATCTGTAGGAGCACAGAGTGCACATCCCGGGAGCACGAATTCAAACACATGGCACGACGAAGCCAGACCAAACCGCAGAAAGCACTGACACACTTTCAATGTACTCATTCCCATGCCTTATGTGAATATCTTAGCACAAGCTATAACTAAGTACCGCGCACATGCTGAGTGAATTGAGCAGCACAAGTGTACTTCTGTGGTTCTAATGTTAGGGAAATCCAAAATCAAGCTACTTCTGACAGATATGGACCCTGGTGGTGGATGACAGATATGGTCCCCAGTGGTGGCATTTCTTCTGGGTTGCCCATGGATGCCTTCTATTGTCTCACTTTGCAAAGCCAGATCTTCTCTCTCATATCTGTTCTGATGAGGGTCCAGTACCAGTCCCATCTAATAAGGGCTCACTCTTACAACCTCCCTACCTCCCTATGGCCTCGTCTCCAAACATTACCACTTTGTAGGATAGGAGTTCTCAACAAGAATTCAGGGGATACACAAGCATTCAGCTCATAGTAAAAGAATATTTGAATAAAAAAGTCTAAGCTTATATGCACAGAGACCATAGACGTCAGCAAATATTTCTGGCAGTTGAGTGAATTATGGTTAGACATACCTTGGCTCTTTGTGATAGGGACGAGAAAAGAATGTCCTCTGAAATGCAGGTATAACTCACCAATAGCTGAGTTTTATTTTAAGAAAGTAATAAAGCTGATATGATTTTGCCTTTCAGAACTGTGTATGTTTCAGTTTTGGTGATTGCACTGTGGTAAATTAGTTGGCTGCAAGTCCAAAGATTCGATCTGCACCCAGACAGACCATTCATCATACTTAACATGCAGGGGTTCAGGAGAACTTTCCTACAGATATCCCAAGATGCCCCTGGAAGTAATCACAGAAAATTGCCTGCTTTGTCTGCCTAGTCCCTTAAATGCAATCAGTGGCTCTGGATTTAGGTTTATTGGGCTACCTTAATAATCCATCAATCTCTCTGTCTGAAAGGTTCATATAGTTACTTTCTCAGTTCATAAATACTCACTGTTTTTAATTTTGTACCAAAAATGGAATGGACTTTAGTGATCCTATGTGAAAGCAATGAAAAGGTTTGAAATATTAGCAAATACTTACCAAGGTAAGTGTACAATATAAAGTCCAAAGTATACATCACCTACACCTTTACATCCTCAGTACCATTTTACAGATTGTCAACTCATTCAATCTGAATACCCAGTTCTGAAAAAGGGTAGTTGAATTTTAGATGATAAAGCTACCCAAATGTGATCATTGAATCCCAAATTTAAGTTTGTGATATTGAAAAGTGAATAAAACCTCTAAGCCAAAACTCTGCAGCAAGTTGTCTGAGAATTCCAGGTAAGGGTGTGGTTTTAAGTCTATGCCAGTGTCAGCTCTGGTTTAGAATCCAACCCTGTTCTAGTGATGACTAGTCATTCTTTTATCAATTCTGCAGGTATGCATGTCTACCTGAGCGTTATTCCCGAAAGTCTAATTAAGTAATACTCTTTTCATCTCAAGTATCTAGAATTTTGGATCTGGATAAAAAAGAGTCCAGGGACCCACCTTTTGCCTCCCTAGGTTTGAATACAGCATTGCCTGCCCTTTCTATACCTATCTCTCCTTTTTAAAAATGGTTGTTAAAACTATTGGTGGAAATTAAAGTTGATTAACTTTTTTTCATTTTCTCTTTGGGTGGAAATGACTGGACATAATGAAAATGGTATCAGGCATGTCCTCCAAAGACAGCTCTTGGTCTCCACCTGCAACCACCTCAACATCCCTCTCAGAAAATCAACCTTCTTTTACCACACCTAGCATCTTCTCTCTGGCTGGTCAAAGCTCCCCTCACTTGATGACCACTGGCCAAACAATACTTGACCCTGGGCTCATGCTACCCACTAGTGACTATTCTACTACCGTCAGCCAGTTGCCTCTAGAAATGTCACATTGGCCTGCATCCTCCAGTGTCATCCAGTTCATCACAAAAAGCCAAGACACAATCAGAGACCTAGAGGAAATGGATGTATCTGACACCCCTACCTTATCAGAAGTATCAGGACTGAGTGGATATGATTCTGCCCTGGATCATTTTTTGGAGACAACCACACCCATGCCAATACAGTACATCACCACCAGCTCTGAGACCATTGCTAGCAAGGGCCACGAGTTAGTGGTATTCTTCAGTCTTCGAGTTGCTAACATGCCTTTTTCCTATGACCTATTCAACAAGAGCTCTCTGGAGTATCAAGCGCTGGAACAACGATTCACAGACCTGGTGAGTGAGCATGGCTTACCTTTCTCCACTTGCTGTGCCTCCTCATGCTTTTTTTGCTGTTGCTTTCTGATTATAGTATAATCATTGCTCATCTTGAGCAATGCAGGTTGGGAAGAGATGAGCATGCAAAGTGGCTGTGCTGTTGCAGAAGGCATTCAGCTAGAATTTTGAGGTGATTTAAATCCAACCAGGGAAATGAGTTCTATGGTGGGCAATCAGAAAAGACACGGCCACCCAGCTTCATGGTAATAAGGTTATCCTTAAATTCTCCTCTTTATGGTTCTCCCTAAATAACTTTACCCAAAGTCTATACAGAAACCCTACAGTACTGAGCTTGGAATCTAAAAACAGTATAAATGAACTTTCCCTAAACTGTGAGGAAGCCATGCTGCCCAGAGTGGATGAGAAAGTGCATTCAGGTCCCCCTATTCCAACCCCCTTATGTTGTTGTAAATGACTGTGTAAGTTGCCATCTCTGATCCTTGATATATAAAGGGAGAAGATTTTCACGATGGATGCACTTTGATAACAGGCACCCTCAAACTCGCATTTTAATTTTATTTCTACAAGCATAATAAGATATATATGTGCCATTGGTGGTAGCACGTGCCATTAATCTCAGCACTCAGAAAGCAGAGGCAAGTGGATCTCTGTGAGTTTGAGGCTAGCCTGATCTACAGAGTGAGTTCCAGGACAGCCTCCAAAGCTATACAGAGAAACCCGTCTTGAAAAACCAAAAAAGAAAAAGAAAAAAATATATACATGTGGTAGTAAATATTGAATTCTGTGATGGCTTTAGCAGTCATGTCTGATTAGATAAATTGTACAATGCATATTGCACACATGATTTCTGACAATATGAGAAAACTATATGTGCTTCTTATAAGTTAAATTATCATATGGCTTGACTATTTTTCTCAAGTAAGACTCTGCTCTACACCACACACACACACACACACGCACACCACACACACTTTGTGAGGGGAGTATTGGTGCTACTGTCTTAGGGAACAATGTCCCAGTGAGCCTCACCTCACCACCGTGTCTCCATTAGGGTTTGTGATAGGCTGTTATAACAAAGGTATTAAGAACGTAGATTAGACACAGGCTTATTTGTTCTTGATATGTGGGCAGCTGTGTTCTAGTGTCACCCTGCAAACCCACATTTCTTCCACCTGTGGCCCCAAGAGTGCTTCCTCCTTTACAAAGTTAAGGCTGAGCGACTGCTCCATCCTGGTTTCACCTGTGACAAAGCAGCAACATCTCCTCGACATTTTGTCTTGATGGAACTAGACACATGACCAGGCCTGGCTATGGGGAGGCTGGAAAAATATCAACTGTAATAATTCACGAACCCTTCCAGAGTCAGGAAATGGGTATCAAACATTTCTGAACAATGGCCTTGAGGATGCTTTTGAGATTAGTAAATCTTGTTTGGGAAGGAATCCCTGGGAGTTGTGTTTGCTCTCTCACAACGCAGATAAGCACCCAGTTCCACACTGTTTTTGTATTGCATTGCTCAATGAAGGCCACCCAACTAGATGCAACCAACCACCTTCAATACCTCCATCCAAATGCCGTGATTGTCACTTCTGCATGCTATGCAGTTTCACTACACTAATAGACTAATAGACAGACACATTGGGTTTGGATATTTTTATTTCAGTGGGTCATTTCTTCCAGATCTCACATCTCCATTTATACAGACACAAGCTGGTTGGCTCCTGAGCTCAATTTGGAATAGTCACTGACATTCCTTGGCTGATAGCATTGGCTTGAGTTAAAAAAAAAAAAAAAAAAAAAATCTGTTCTCACAAGTCATGAAAACAACCCTGCCCCTCTATCTCAATGCAGGCAGACAGGTGGAAATATGGACATAATTACTACAAATAGATCATTAGGTTGTGGTGTTCTGGTCTGACATCCAGCAACAAAACCAGTGGTGAAGAAATGTAAAGTGTGCCTCAAGTAATAAAGAGTGAGCATAAACGGGACCAGCCAGCAGTGACCAAGTTAAGAATAAACTATTTTTCTTTTGCAGCTGGTCCCATATCTACGGTCCAATCTTACAGGGTTTAAGCACCTGGAAATACTCAGCTTCCGAAATGGGAGTGTGATTGTCAACAGCAGAGTGCGTTTTGCAAAGGTGGTACCTTACAACCTCACCCAGGCGGTGCGTGGGGTGTTGGAGGATCTCCGAGCCACTGCAGCTCAACAACTCAATCTGGAAATTGACAGCTACTCTCTCAACATTGAACTAGGTAGGTGAAATCCTGGGGAACTTTTGGCTCATTCTGTTCTGTTTTCAAGCATGCTGATCAACTGTCAACCCGCAAAAATGAAATGAAATTACACTTCACAAGTCCACCTTTTCGGAGCTGTGAACTTTGTGATGAAGGAAGGAGGGTCTTCAACCTGCAGGCTCAAGTGTTCCTACATAGAAAAGCTAAGAGTAAGCATACCTCCAATTGCAGTTTGAGAACCTCAGTTTCCTCATAGTACTAAACTTTTGCTATGCTGAGATATTTTTAAATGTGGCCGTAAACCAAGCTAGTTTTAATTCTGCTGAAGGTCAAAGCACTTTCAAGAGAAAAAAAAAAAAATCTGCAGCAACCTAGGCCTCCTCCTTCAGTGCCTTCAGTGAACTGGCAGAATAGTCTTTTTTCACAAGAAAACTGGGGATGAAACACAAACAAATCCTGAGGAGAGGGGGGGAAATTAGATCAAAGTTAAAACTTGGAGAAATGGCCAAAAAAGAAAATAATGTCCCTTCCCATTTGCACCCCCTAGTATAGTGTCCATGTAACTCTATAACAGAAAGTTAAACACTTGCTCCAGCAAGAAAGCAGAGTGTATGTCACTGTCATGGGCCAGGCCTGAATTGAGGACTGTTCCCCCCATGTACTTGAAAATCTTTCTCTAACTGAAGGGAGGTTTTTAATCCCCTGGAGTGCAGGACAGGAGGGTTCTGTCCTACTGCCAAAGCAACCTTCCATTCAGATTCAAAACAAAGTTTCCTAATTGGCTATGAATTAGTGAAGTGGATCTTTAATGCTCACTCTGGCTCTCTGTGGACTAACTACGAAGACTGAGGGAAAAGGCCTTGGGCAAAAATGCAAGCCAAAAAAGCTCAGTAGGAAACATTTATCTTTGACAGCGCAGGCTCTGGAGCAGTCCTACAAAAATTGCCTCAGTACCTTTGTAAATAACATCATTAAAAAGACAGCAGAGCCTTGGGCACTGAGCAGGGGAATAGTTACCTCTAAACAGGAGCTGCCTAAGGAAGCCTTCTAGACCCCCTGGGCAATCAAAGACCACCTAAATACAGGGGAAAGACTGACTGCCTCTACCCTCAGAAGGTACCCAGAGCTGAGCCTGTTCTTTACAGTTGGATGTAAAAATAACAGGAAAGATACAGGAGAACTGGGGAGGGAGCACAGGAGAGGTGAGAGCCTGGACCCCTGCCTTCCTCCATCCCTCAGTTCCTTGGCAGTCCTTAGGAGCCCATTCAATACAAAAAATTACCTCAGAAGGGCCTGGTCAAGGCTGGAGAGAATCTGGATGTATGCCTCTGAGGACAGGAGTATCAATGTTAGGGACCACTTGATAAATGTCTTAGAAAGGTGCTGCGGGATAGTAGTGCCACGCCATGACTGTGCTGGAGCCACTGTTGAAAGAGGTACTGCAGAGCCATGGCCTTGGAGCCCAACTTGAATGTGAATCTTATGGGTTAATAGCAGAGCCCAATTTCCACCGTGAAATGTTAAAATTCCTTCCCTGAGGGAGACTATGTCTACCCCTTCACCTCAGGTCCCAATGACAAACTGAGGTATACATCCACCAGCATTAATTCCAGAGAACCACTGGGTTTATTAGGCTTACTTACAGAGCCATGGGTGAAGGGTATGGCTGGAAGCATGGGTATCATTAAGACAGCCACACTGCAAGGTCAACGCCCAGTAGGAAAGATGACTCCCTTATGGCCATGTAGATGGAACCCTCTCCCAAGTCCTCCCCAGCCTAACGTCTCTAGTCTCTACCTGATGTTACATGCAATAAGGGAAGAATTGCATGCAACTGTTTGGTAGGAATGGCTGACATGACAGTCCTCCCATGACCCTTCCCATCTGTCCTATGAGAGACCATCAGCAGTCAACAAGCCCAGCTGTGGTGTCTTTTTAAAAAAGGCACACCCAAACTAAAAAGGATGATGGCAGTTTGGTTTGGAGGATAGTGTTGTACCACAATAGGGGACATTCTAAGAGCATATGGATTCATAAAAAGGGTATTTTTAGTCTTTAGCATAATGTGTTTGACACATTATAGTTGCCTAATAAATGTTAATAGTTAGTATTACAACATTGTCATAATTAACTTGACTGTTAATTTATGACCTGCACAGGGTACCATAAAGAGTGATTAAAAGCTAGCTGTGGCAAGGTATTTGTGAAGTAATTGGAGCTGAAGCTATTTTCGTTGATACCCTGTGAACCTTTGTGTAGTGTTGCCTTTCCTCCCAGCAGCTGGTAGAAGTGAGATGCTACTAACATCAGCCATAACCCTTCTGGAGTCATACGTATACTGAGATACCCAAGATAAAAAATGCCTACAAGCTTCCCAGTGTGCTGTGTGTGTATACCCAACTTGAGAGTTACAATAGGGGAAGGACAGAGAGGACAAACAGGACAGTCTGTCTGTTCTCCACAGCCCTAAGTAGGAGCAGCTCAGGAACTTTCAGAGAGTCTGACATACTGTGTCCAGCAATGAACATGGATGAAAACTGAATGAATGAATGAATGAATGAATGAATGAATGAATGAATGAATGACCACTCAGTATCCACAGGGAGCTATTTTGCAGTAGTTACTGGACTGTTACACTGAGCTTTGGTGCGAAATATTTCTCCATACTCTATTCTTTACTAAACACCTGGAGATAGAAAACCCACTTTTAATGCACAGAAAAATCATGAAATAATGAACAAAGGACAAAAATTAATTAATGTTAGAAGTCTGCCCAGGAAATGGCTATAGGGAGCCTGTTAAAACATCAGCAATGCTCCAGACAAAAGAGCTGAAAGGGGGGAGATCAGAACATTATACATGACTTTCATAAAAGTTTTAAAAGTGAGAATGGCTTCTTCTACATAAATCGAAATGTCTGTGCACTCCTCAACTACAGGAAATTCTAGTTTCATTGTGCTGTACACAGGCAGAAGCCACAGCTCCAAAGTATACTTAAAACTTCCTTCTCATCAACAATAATGCAGATGGAAAAAAGACAGCTGCAGTCATGGGGAACCAGGAGTGCCTGAGCCAGTGGGCTTCCTTGCTCACAGCTGTGGATCCTGGGTGATCTCGCCATAGGCAGAGGGCAGATTCATACAGGGAACCAGCAAGCGTGCATTTGAGTGGCTCACTAGACCTTGAACACCATTTCTGAACTAGTGAGCATCCATCCACCTCCGAATGACCTGTCCATGTGTGACAGTCCCTGCCCAAAGGAACTGTGAAGAAAGAACATCTTTAAACTATGCTGACATCAGAAATATGTCTTTTTAGTTCAAACATATCTTTTAATGGCCATTTTCTTATGTAGCAGACTTCAAGCAAGTTCCTATGGGCTTGGCTTGGTGCCAGGCGGAGAGTACTATGATTCCTTTTTAATCTCAGCTCATTGAGACCCAGCCACCTGAGCAGGAGGAAGTGTAGGACTAGATGTACTACAAAGACCTCTGACCCCTCTACATTGAGAAACTGGCCAGTGAGGGGGCTGATAGCCTTGCCTGAGCAGCTGGCAGCAGCTGCAAAGGGCCAAGGCTGAGGAAACCCACACTGCAGATGACATAGGAGTACAGACTGTCACTGGAGGTGGTGGCTGTTGAGAAAGAGCCCAATGCAAGTGGCATCCGGTATACACTTTGACAGACACACAGACTACCCTCATTTGCATGAGACCTGCCCCTCCTGTAACTGTTTGCAGCCTTGTTTCAATATAGAACATAGAGATAGCTCTCCAAAAATCCCCCAAACAACACTATTGCTTGACCAAAAAGCATTACTTTCTTAATTCCATGAATCTGTATGTCTTATAGAACATGAAATCTAAAGTATTATTCTTCAAAAAAAAAAAAAAAAAAGCCTAGTACTGTTGTAGCACAATTTTAGTTTGGGAGCATAAACAAATATTTTTATTATTATTTGTAGTGCTAGACACAGAAGCTGAAGGTAATGCTATATGCCTCTCCCATTTCGATTAAACAATAAATAAATGTCTACATTTTGAAAGAGTAAAGAAAGTATGCCGGAGACTTTTCAATCATTTCCTTTTGTTACCTAGCAGTATGACAGCCCTTTTGCCCCTAGTTTTACACAATGACTAGCTAAGTCAGGTTTTCTCCATTCAGTGATGTCTTTGAGTAGAAGCTGTCCTGGTGACTGACAGGCAAGCAAATTACAATGTCCTCCTCTTATACCCAACCGCTGCCACCTAGCTGAAAACGATGCTGAATGAAGACAAGTGTAAATGGGACTTAAATTCCCACTCATCTGACTGAACTGCTGGTGTGGTCTGTTCAGGTATCCAAGGGCAGGACTGACATACAAGAGTCTCGTCCATGTACATGAAGTGAGAGAGGCCTACAGGCACTGACAAGGGAAGGCCCTAAAAATTCCAGGTCATTTTGGCAAATAAAAGGAACCCCAGTGCTTCTAGTCTTGATTATTTAATTTGAGCATTCACTGGAACTCAGTGAGGCTGGTACAGTCTGGAGACAGTCCCTCTTAAAGAGACTCAGAGAGAGAAGAAACAGCCAGTAGAAGCACTGTATATTGAAAATAAATACTTAGCTTGTCTATGGGACAGGATCCCAAGAGCTTATCTTTATAAAGTAGAAAAGGCTTCTTATGAGTCTAATCTGTTGCCAGGCAGGGCAGCTCGAGACTCTGTAGCATCACCAAGTTTCTGGATTTCTACCCTTTTTCCCCTTCCCTCACTATCTTGTTGAGAAAATTCACACAGAAGCCAGTGCTATACACGTCCAGGCTTTCCCACCCTGCCAAGGTTTCTCCTAGCTTCCAAAACCACCTGCCCTACCCACCCTGCCTCTCCCACCTGCACCAAGAATCTCCCTCCAAACATAAAAGCCATAATTGCCATACAAGCAGATAGGCAGCATGTGCTAAAGTTTCATTTAACTTCTAAGAGAATTGTTAGGCTGGCAAGACTTGGGGAAAGTGGTATAGAAACAGATTTTCTATCA